TCCCCGGCTGTGTGTGCCGTTTTTCTAACATAAGAATATTGAAATTTAGTGTTGACGTGTTGTACATACCCCAATTTCTTCCAAAACCCAATTTCTACCCGGACTACATTTTCATCGGCCATCCTTTTCTACCGGGACTAAAAATACTCTAAAAGTTCTCTACTTGCTTCTCCATTATATCTCCGCTGCTGCTAGCAACCATCTTCTCAATGATCTGGATGATGTCTTCTGCAGTTGTGCGGGCCGCGTCCTGATCCAGGACGGCATCGTCGTACGACATTTTCAAAGCAAAGGCTCTGTCGGGCGTCTTGTGCACTTCCACCACAAGGGCGTACGGGGCGAGCAGGCGCACTTTACTTTTTGCCATGACCAGCCACCTGAAGTCAGCATCGGGGTCGTTTGCCGGTGCCGGGTCGAAGGGCTGGTAGATGAAAAGGACGCGGCTGCTGACCGTCTGCCGGTCGAGCCCGGCTGCCTCGTATATCTGATCCAGCCCGACGTCGCCGTGGTCCGTCATCTCCCAAAAGTCGTCCTGAGTGCGCTGCAGGTAGGAGATGAGACGCTCTTTCGGGTCGATGCCGATGCGCATTGGGAGGAAGTTCGCAGTGGTGCCGTTGATCGTCTGCGGGTTCGGGAGGTCGACGTTGCGGCCTGTGAGCAGGTAGTCAAAGGAGACATCGCGGCTGGCGGTGGCCTGAGACAGCCAGAGCTGGAATGCTCCCTGGAACAAGATGGCCGGCGTGACGCCTAGGTCGCTGGCCAGCTGGTCGACATCAGTCTTAGGGATCGGGCGCTTGACGACGCTGTTGCACACGGGCGCCGGAGCGTTCGCCCAGGCGGCCTGTTTCAAAAAGTCGGACTCGTCCTGCTTGTGAAGCCTCTTCTTCCAGTAATCCAGCGAGCTTGACTTGTCCATCTCAAAGATGTGGAAGGCAAAGTCCTTGAACGTGGTGTGGCGCGGGGAAGGCTGGTCGCGGAGGATGGCGGCGTAGTGCTCGTCAAATATGCGGAGGAGCGTGCCGTCGTAGACGGCGTGGTCCATCTTGGTGACCAAGTCCCACGCGCCGTCCGGGTACGTGATCATTATGTACCGAATGAACGGCTGGGGGAAGACGAACCTCTCGTTCCACAGCGATTCGATGACGGGGGCAGCCTCAGCTTCGTCCTTGCAGCTGACGCGCCTCAAGTCGAGCTCGGTGCTGCGCAGCACCAGGCCGACCCAGTCCATTTCAGACACTTGCAGCCAGGAGGTCCGCAGGATCTCATTCGTCGCGCTAAGCGCGGTCGTGGATCTGATCCACAGCTCCTGGTCAGCCGTGGCCGGCATTCTCCTCACCGTCTGCAGGACCCAGGCCTGTTCTTCACGTTTGCCCTGCTTCAAGAACTCAACTTGTCCGGGAGGGCAAGGATAAACTAGGGGGAAAGAGTCAGTCTTCTGTCCGAAACATGGCTTTCGCACTTAGCCAACATACCGTAATCTACGTCCTTCTCCCAATCCAGCCCAGCAGCCGTTGTCTCGACCTTGACCATTTCCGGGGTTTCAAAGACCGGCTTGATCCTAAGGCCGTTTCCGCGTGGGAGAATGGCCATTTGGGCTGCGAGTTCGTGCAGTTTGGGCACCCTCAAAATGGTTGGCACTGCGAGGGAATAGCCCATCTGTCGGGCCACACTCGACAGGCTGATGGCGCTGACCGAGTCCCCCCCCAAGGACAAGAAGTTGGCCTCCCTGCCTATGTGGATGGCCGGCACGCCCAAGACATCTACCCACATGAGCTCGAGGGCCTGTTCCAAGGGCGTCTCGGTGGGCACGACCTTGTGCCCGTCGCTTGCCGCCTCCATGACATAGGGAGAGAGTTCGACGGCGCCCAGCTTCTCGACTGTCGCCTGCAGCCTTTTGCGGTCGACCTTATGGGAGGGCATGAGAGGGAGGCGCGCCATCGGGAGGATGAGCTTGGGAAGCATGTAGTACGCCAGCGAACCGAGACGTTGACGGAGAGTTTGGAAATCATCTGCGTGTTTTTCGGCGGCCTCCAAGAGGTCTTGTCCGGCGGCTGCAAGCTCCTCCTGTTCGGCAGTGCCGAGAGGTGCGGACGACTTGAACATGCAAGCGGCCACGAGCTGCTGCTTGTTGTTGATCGTCGCGAGGATGACGGCAACGTCCGCGACGAGGCCAGATTCCCTGATAACGGCTTCGATCTCGCCAAGCTCGACGCGGAACCCGTTGATCTTGACCTGATTGTCCTTGCGTCCCAGGCACTCGACCTCGCCACCCGGGAGCCAGCGGGCCAGGTCGCCGGTGCGGTACACGCGCAACTTGAGAGACTCGTTCCAGACGAACACGGCGGCCGTCAGGTCGTCGCGGCCGACGTAGCCGTCACTCAGTTGAGGGCCGCCGATGCAGAGCTCTCCAACCGCTCCGTAGGGACGGAGCGAGTCGCCCTCGGGGTCCAATATGAAGGCCGTGACGGTCGGGTACGGAGCGCCGATGTTGCCGGCGGGTCCGTGGCTGCCCCGAATCTCCTTGGTGCAGACGAGAATGCTCGTCTCGGTCGGCCCGTAGCTGTTGAGGACCCTGCAGAAGGGCGTCCATCTGTCAATGATGCTCTTGGAGACGGACTCACCCGCCAGGATCAACGTCTCCAGGTTGGGGACATCGTTTGGCTGCAACAGACCGGCTACGGTCGGCGTAATCGCAACCTGACGCACTCCCATGCGATTCATGTAGCCAGCCATATCGGAAAGAAGCTCCGACGTGGGCGCCATGCAAAGCGTCCCACCGGTACTCAGCGTGTTGAAGATGTCCAGGATGGAGACGTCGAAGACGTAGTTGGACATTTGGAGCACACGCCACTCGCCTTTGCTGCGGCCCTCAATATCGCACGCGGACTTGATGGCCGAACTCACCGCCTGGTGCGGGACCCTAATGCCCTTGGGTTGACCGGTGCTGCCCGAGGTGTAGATTATGTAGGCGATGTGTTCTGGCGTCACGACTGCTGTCGGGGCCTCGCCCTCCAGTGGCTCGATGTCTTCGACGACCATGACATCCGTACCTTCAAGGTGGCAGGAAAGATCCTGCTGACGATTCTGCAAAATGATGAACTTCGCCGACGTGTCCCGACAGACGAAAGCGTTGCGCTCGATCGGGTTATCCGGGCTCAGGGGCACATAGGTGCATCCGGCCTTGAGGACCCCGAGGATACATACCACGGCCTCAATGGACTTGTCGAGCATCAGAGCGACGCAATCGCCGGTTTGGAGGCCCTGCTCGACCAAGATGGCCGCCACGTGGTTGGCTCGTCCGTTGAGGCTGGCATAGGAGACCTGAACCGTCCCGGTCCAGTTAATGGCCACGCGGCCCGGTTCGGATTGAGCGCATCTTTCAAAGTCGGCATGGAGCAGGCTCGGCGCGGGAGTGACGAGTGTATCGAGGTTCGACACCTCGTTGCGGAGGAACCGGTGCTCGGTATCGGTAAGCACATCCAGCTTCGACACGAGCTGCTCGGGCGTGTCCAGGATTGCCAGGACGGCCTTGACGAAGGAATCGCAGAGGAACTGGAGCCTCCTAAGCTCCATCTCGCCAGACATGCGGATGGTGGTTTGGGGACCATCTGCAATCACCTCGAGTAGCGTGTAAGGCGTCTTCCAGATCGACCGGTCTCCATTGCGCCTGAACGTCTGCGTGAAGACTTCCGAGGTCTCTTCCGCGGGCAAGATGTTGACCAGGGTGTCGAAACAGTCATTGGAGAGGCCGGCAGCCTTCAGGGCCCCCTGCATGCCGACGTGTGCATGCTGGTTGATGTCGATAAGACTTGCCGTGCAGACATCTTTGACGAGGCTGATCAGCGACATCCCTGGCCGAATGGCGATCCTTTGCGGCACGGTGAGGAGGGTGGGACCGTCCATCCTCTCGATCCCGGGGACGGGAGCGTCTCGACCGGAGAGGGTCGTGGCGAACATTACATCCTGAGAGTTCTGGTGCTGCGAGAGAACCACGGCCCAGGCGGCAGAGACAACAGCTCCAGGGGCGATGCCCAATAGCTTGGTCCGACCGTGCAAGTCGAGGGCCACAGACTTGCTTGTGCCCTCCGGCTTCAGGTGCAGCTCATCAGGCCGAGCAGGGTTAAGGTTCGACTTGGGAGCCTCAGCAAGGTAGCCTGTCCAAAAGGCCTGGGCGGCGTCCCTATCCAGCTGCTGAGTGAAGGACACATACCCGGCGAACCTGGGCCTTGTGGGTATAGCCTGGTCATGGTAGGCTGCCGCAACGTCTTCGTAGATAAACTTGTGAGACCAGAAGTCGCACAGGGCATGATGCATCGTGACAACGAGCCACTGGCCTCTGACAAGGCCGATGCGGAAGAGTGGACCGTGTAGCGGGAGGTCAATTCGGCAGTCCTTCTTGATGTACTCTTCAACCGTAAGATCGCTCTCGGACCAGGGAAGGCCGACATCCGCCCTGACGAATTGCACGTAGGAGTGGCCGTGGGGCACAAAGCCGGTTCGAAGGATGTCGCTCGTATCGAAGACGCGACAGAAGCTGTGCTTTAGCTTCTCAAAGTCCAGACCGCCGACTTCCCAAATGCGGCGATAAACGTAGGGGTCGTCGTCGGTGTTGAGCGTGGATAGCAAAGCGGACTGCAAAGGAGTCGCCGGGTACGCATCGACCAGGTCCATCACGCCCTTCAACTCATTAACGAAGGAAACGTCATCAACCAATGTGAAAGGCTCTGTGTACGCGGGGCCGACAGTAGACTCTCGGGTCTTGGAGGCGACTTCATGCAGCGGCATATCTGTTAAGAGACTGCGAAAGTCCACAACAATGTCTTGCTCCCGAAGCTTAGCAATGACGCGGATGGCCTGTAGCGAGCTGCCGCCGAGGGCAAGGAACGAATGCTCGAGGCCAATTGCGTCCTCCTGGATACCCAATGCAGAGGCCCACGCATTGGCGATCTGGCGCTCGACAGGATCAGAAATGACACTTTGTCCCTGGGATCCGGATGCAGTGAAGGACGAGAAGCCATGGACCCCGAGCTCGATAGCCCTAGATCGGAGGGTCTTCAAGTCGGCCTTGCCATTTGCGGACCTCGGGAGCTCGTCAAGCGGCATCCATAGGCTGGGGATCATGTAAGATGGAAGCGTACCGAGAGCTTGTCTTCTGAGGAGCGGCAAGAGCTCGCTCCAGGGCAGCTCGCCTTGCTTCGGCACCACGGCCGCGACCAGGGTCAAGTTGCCGCCGACTTCGGCCCCAAAGGTCACACAAGCGGCAACACTCTGGTGTTGAGAGATTGCTTGGTCGACGTCGGCAGGCTCGACCTTGTTTCCGTTGATCTTGAGCTGCCAGTCAATGCGCCCCATGATTTCGATCGAGCCGTCGGGCAGCTTGCGCGCCGCGTCTCCCGTTCGGTAAAGCCTGGCATAAGGCCCATCTCCGCCAAGCGGGTTGCGAACGAACGCCTTCTCCGTCAGAGCCGGCTCGTTAAGATAGCCAGAAGCAAGCTGGGGGCCGGATAGGCAGAGCTCGCCCGCCACGCCCACTGGAGCAAGTTCGTTCGAGCCCGGCCGCAGGATGTAAGCCAGCGTTGTATCGGTAGGAGCACCGAGATTTCTGGAATTGTCGTTTGCCCTCAGGCGGCGACCGAAGCTCAGCTGCGTGCACTCGCTGGTGCCGAACCTGTTTCTGATGATTAAGTTCGGAACGGCAGACCAAGTATCCACCAAAGCCTGGGGGATACTCTCCCCGGCAAGAGTGATCTGCTTGATGGCCGGTATGCTGGATGGCTGGAGGACAGACAGCGCGGTTGGGGTGATCTCCATCTGATCGACTTGGTACTTGTTGATGACGCCGGCAAGGTCTGTGAAAATCGACTCTATGCTCGCAATTACCATAGTCCCGCTGTGGGCCAGCGTGGAGATCAACGTTCTCTGCGCGGCGGACGCGGTCGGGTTCCAAAAAAGAAGAACTCTTGGCATGTCTTCGAGTGAAGGGTGCCGCGTGATGCCGCTGGCCGCAGCTCGATGGGTGACAACGGTGCCCTTAGGCTTTCCAGTCGAGCCCGAGGTATAGATGATGTAGCTGGCGTCATCCGGGCTCGGCTTGGACTCGGCACTCCAACTGTTGTCTGGGCCTGAAAAAGCGGCGGCTTCCGCAAGGGCACCCTCGATACTGACGGTAGAGGGGAACAGGTGGGAGTACTTTCTGTTTGCTAGGATGAATCTCGGGGAGCATTCTTGGATGATTTGCGCATTTCTTTCCTTGGGCACGTCGGGGTTGAGTATGGTGTACGTGGCGCCAGACTTCAGGATGGCTAGGAGCGCGATGATCAGATTAGCAGATCGGTCAATCAAAAGCGGCACGACCTCTCCCTTGGCGAGCCCGAGGAGTCGTCCCAGGCCGTTGGCGGCATCGTTCAGCTGTTGATACGATAAGGAAGCCTGGTCTTCAAAGACAACGGCCAAGCGCGATGGGTGCGAGCGTACGGACGCCTCTATGAGTTCCGGTAGCGTTGGGGGGTCGTTGATGAGCTTGACTGATGGCGGAGCGAGAATGGCCTTCTCGCTCTCGGAAATGAGCGGGATATCTTGCAAGAGACATTCGGAGATATTGTCCTTGGATATAGTGCCAGCAAGAGCAGTGACAAAGTGGTCCAAGAGAGTTTGGGCGTCGGCGTCGGCAATGTCGCGGATGTAGCTTATGGTGAGCGTCGGATGATCCCAACCGGAAATGCTCATGACGATGGGAAACTTCCCCAGTCCCGGAGCGAGACACGAAAAGGCAGGCGCTTTGGTGTAGTTGAGGGCGGACTCGACCACCTGGCCCTCGGGCAGATGCTCGAGTATTGCGGGCAAGCCGATGAATGCATGTTGGGCGGCGCGCATCTTGCAGTTCTTGATGGCTTTGTTGATCTCCTCCACGGTGCTCATGGGAGAGACTGGGACTCTGAGCAAGTATGTTTGATCCAAGCACCCCACGGTGGCTTCGGCCCCAAAGAAGCTCTCGTCGCGGCCAACGACGCCAAAAACCACGTCCTCAGAGCCGCTGTGCTGGCTGAGCACAAGAGACCAGATCATCTCGAAAAGTGTCTGCCGGGCAACGCTGTCGGGAACCATGCCAAGTAGCAGCAGCAAGGTTTCGGGGGGTTGGAAGCTCAAATGCCGCCGCTCCGTGGCCTCTATGTTCCCTGGCAACAGAGGCGTCCTGAGTGCGGACACTGATTCCGACGTGGTGAGCACATCGTGCCAGAATGCGGCAGATTCTTCGGGGTTCTTGGTGCGCCGGACAAAGTTGGAATGGAACACGAAGCTCAGCCTGTCCAGCGGTGGTAAACCAAAGAGAATCAGCAGGAAGTCGGTCTTGATAATATCAACCGACGTGGCATCAATAACGGCTCGGCGGAATCTCAGAGTGACCCTGGAGTTTCCCCCGAATCCGGCAGGATGCCAAATCAAGTGAGCCGATGCGTCGTCTGTGACAGGTCTAACTGATTCAGAGGGAACAATGTTCTCGATGCGTCGATTGACTCGTATAGACACGGCGCCCGTTTGCACATCAGTGTGGGCACAGGCTCGCAGGCAGGCGTCTAAGACTAGTTAGTCATGATGGCAAAGGAAGAGTTACGCCACTGCGTGGGTACTTACGGTAAGATGCCAGTGTATTCCACACTCTGCCGATATCTTGGAAGCTAGGCGATGGGTGGGGCAAGGCCAGCTCAGCCGTGGCCCATTGGAAAGGTTCCTGGCATATGTCCTTTTGAACCTGGGTTGCTTCAACCGAATATTCGGATGTAGACCCGCGTCCTGTAATGAACTGTACAGCGCGCTGGTTTTCTTGACCGATTGGAATGAATGAGAATGGGTCGCTGGAAGCCGCGCCTGATAGCCCGCTTGGAATGGCTGATAGAAACATTGTGCTGAGTGTCGGGGAGGGAGAAGGAGTTTGCAGCAAATGAGGGAGAAGAGAGGGATAGGGGTTTGGTGTTAAGAGACCTGGAGATCATGCTCCAGTCTATGATACCGTTTGTCGAAATCTAAAAAAACCCAGTTTGACGAAGTTGTCGTCGCCTCTATTTATCTATTCAGTTTTGTCTCGTTTTCTTGGTGTGGATCCATCATAGAAGCCAAGGTTATAATCAAAGAAACAGGCAATGGAGTCAGGGACAATCACTTTGCAACAGCAAGAAAGTTAAACCTCGTCTTGAGATTCAAAGCATCCCGTGTTGTGTTTGGCCGCTGCCAGTTTTGCGGATCTGTCGTTGCTGCTCTCTCACCCGATATGGGCGTTGTTGTCAGATACGGGGTTCTCGAAGACGTTGTGACCGCTCCCCTAGCACTGATAGGGTTTAGATCAACTAGGTCGGGATAGCTTGACAGCTATGTCCGAAACAATGTTCCAGGCTCAAGGCCCATACGAGGAAACTTATCATTTTACGAAACGTAATTATTTACTAGGAACTTTGCCCGTTAAAGAGGGTTAAAGAGGGTTGTTTCAAGTAATGGAGACTTAATAAGTTTCGCCGAAATCAACAAGCCGAACTTTAACATGCCAACATATCAGGTTGTTTTCGCAAGAGACCATGTCATTGAGGGAAAATAGCAAGGGTCTAATAGGAAACATTAGATAACACCCAGATGTCAGGTTGAAAATTCCAGATATTGGATGGCAGCAGCGAGAAGTGACACCAAGATCTCAAGTCATGTCACACAAGGTTCAAAACAGGAGGGTACATCATGGTTACAATTCTGTGCTGTGGAACTTAGTTAAATTAAACAGTCGCTACCTGTATGTGCCCCAGTAAAAAAGACTTTTTCGTAACTGAAAGTTGGCGGAATTCTTTATTTCTTCCAGTAATAGTAGGTAGACTGCTGATGCACGTTTGGTCGGCTGCCGGTGATTTAAGCCTATTTTAGGAGATACTGCTACCACTACGACATTCACTTTAACTATTATCTCTAGCCTATATAGAGAACGCACTTTTTGATCTGATATAAACCTTAATAATAATAATAAGTTAAAAGCCTATAGGTATAGATATCTAATAGTAGTAATAACTATTAGTAGTAAGTATTATTATGTAGTAGTAGGAGTAGCTTATAGTAGTATGTAGTAGTAGTATCTGTAGTGTGTAGTAGTATGTAGTAGCAGTAGTGGGTAGTAGTAGTAGATAGACTATTGAAATAATAGAACAGAGCTATTACCTGGGGGCAACTTAGTCAGCACTGTGAGCTAAATACGGTAGCGGTTAACAGGCAGACACTTTGCGGGTCAAACCTTAGCATCTCAGACTATCTCAAAGTACTGACCCACCTCCTCTTAAGTCACTTTTGTCCCCACACCACCAACTCCAAATTCTCCACACCACCAACTTCAAATTTTTAACACTAAGTTAACAAGAAAAAAAAAGCTTTTTTAATAGTATATACTACACCCTTTATACTATACCTAGTATTCTCTATATATAGGAGACTATCTCTAGGGGTAAGTTTCTCTAAAAAGTTGATTTATATTACTAAATTCTAGATGTACCTTAAGCTAATAGAGATATCTCTGTTTTCTTCTTTTTTCTGTAGGAAAAGGGTAAGCTGGTCTATGCATAGGTCTATGCAGAATTAAGCGAGAGACTTTAAGAGGTACTTTGATGACTCAAGTGCTGCCCCGCAATGTGTCTGTCTGTTAACTGCTACCCTAAATACCCCCTCTTTACAGAGGGGGCGAAAAAATGGGGTTGCTACTCTAAAAAAGGGGTTACTAACCCCTATCACAAATACCCTTACTTTTGTGTACATTATATAGTATTATTAACTTTTTATTTCTTAAAGTAATAATGCCTATAACGTTATATAATAACAAGAGTAGTTTTAATTAATAGCCTTAATTAAGGGCTTTATAATAGTACCTTTTTTTCTTTTTTATATAATAACTATAAATTTATATTACTACTATAATATAAATATTACTTTTATTATTATTTACTATATATTACTAGTTCTTTTTTATTTATATTAATAAGGGTATAAATAAGTAATTTTATAGTATAACCCTTATAGCCCTCTAGCTATTTATTTTATTCTTTATAGTATAATACTATAACTTATATTATAAGGGACCTTATAATATTAAAGAGCTAGCTATTAGTGTTATTAGTAGTAATAGTAATAATATATAACTATTATTATTATTATTACTCTTAGGTATACTAACTAATTCTTTACTTAATATAACTAAATTAATATTCTTATTAATAAGGTTATTAATATTTATAAAGATCTTAAGGTTAAATTTTAGCTCTACTACCTCTATAGCTATATTAGCTAATACTTAATTAATATTACCTTAACTAAGAGGTCTTACTATATACTTAAATTAGTTAAGTATATACTATAGTAAAGAAGCTAGGTTAAAGTTAATAGTAAATTTTTTTTTACCTTTAGTATTATTATTATACTACTATAGATCTAAAGGGTTAAATAGAATATATAGTTAATTTTCTCTTATATAGACTAGCTACTATTTAAAGGTTAATTACTTTATTTATTTATCTACCTCTTAATACTTAGTAATACTATATTACTACTAGACTTCTTTTTTTTACTTATAGGTTATTCTTTTTACTACTGCCTATTAGTACTATATTTTTACTTATATTACCTTTATAACTTACTTATTATATACTTTTTTTATATTTATAATAGTAATACTAGTTATAAAGGAGTATTATAGTTTAATAGCTTACTAGTACTAGCTTTTTTATTACTATATTTCTAGTCTAGTATTTTAGTCCTTAAGGTGTTACTACTAGTACTTATAAGTAAGATATTCTTTATAAATTACTTACTTTATTACTTTAAATCCCCTTTTTAAAGGACTACTTTATATACTACTATATTTCTCCTTTATATAGTTAGTAATAAAGATTACTTTATTAAAGTAGTTATTATATAGTAAATAATAAATAAAATATAATAGTATATCTTTATTACTTTATTATATTTTTTTAACTAGTTAGTTAAGTATAATATTATTATATATAGGCTATATACTTATCTTCTTAAAACCTTTTATAATATAAATAGTAGTAAAGGCCTCTTTAACTATAGTATTAAGGGTAGTAATTAAGTTACTTTTTATAAATATAAGGTTAACTTTTTATATATACTTATAGAGTACTATTTATTAGGCCTTCTTAAAGTATTAAAAGACTTTTATATTTATTAGTTAAAAAAAGTATATTATATAAGGTAAAAAAAAGGCAAAGATAATATTAAAGTTAATATAATATTTTATAAGCTTTAGACTTATATAGCCTATAAATTTATTAAGAAAAAGAAGGTAATATAGTTACTTTAACTTTTCTATAGTATCTTAATAGTTATAATACTTTACTTTTTATTTACTTAGTTAACTATTAAGTAAATATAAATTATAAGTATTATAACTATATATATTAATACTAAAATAGTCCTTAAAAAGTAGCTTATTTAGTAATACTTTATTAACTTTATATATAACTTTATATTAAAGTACTATATATAGTCTATTATAATCTTTTAGTTAAAAAAGCTAGTTAGTAAATATATAAAGTAAATACTTTCTTAGACTTAGTAATTTACTTAAGTAGTAACTAGCTAGATTTTAAAGATTATATATACTAAAATAATATTACTAAATATATTACTAGACTTAACTAAAGTATATAACTTTTAATTAGCTAGATCTATAACTTTATATAAATAATTATATTTTAATAGCTACTTAAGAATAATTATATATAGCTAGCTACTAAGGTAGCTAATTTAATACCTAGATTTATTAGTATTTTATATCTTAGATAGGCTAATATTATACTTATAAAAGGTAACCTAGTACTAAGTAAAAAAGTCCTCTATTAAGGCTAAGTCTAACTTAGCCCCCTTCTAGTATAACTTAACTAGTTTAATAGTGCCTTTTTTCTAGAGCTCTAGATAGTTAGTAAGCTAGCTTTAGATAAAGTACTTAAAGACTAGTAGTTAACTTTAAATACTATAGAAGTAGTTAGCTGTTTTTTTAACCTAGACTAGTAAGGCTAAAAAACTAGATTTATAAAGCTATATAATAAAGGTACTAAAAGCTATATCTTTAGCCTTTATAAGTAACTAAGGCTAGTTAGGCTTATTTAGGCTAACGTAGAGGTTATAGTCTTCTTAAAGGGCCTAGAGGTGCTTTTAAATTACTATATAAGATATACTATAATCTTAGGTAGCCTAGTATATAAAGAGTATATTAGTTACTAGCTTACTTACTTATTAATAAGTTACTTATTAATAAGTAATATATAGTATTTTAGCTACCTTTTTAGTAGTAGTTATATTTTTATTATATTAGTAAAGTATATTAAAAAGTTAAAATAAGGTAAATAGTTTAATTACTATTAATATTTATTAATAATATATCTAAATAATTACTTGTTTTTAGTAAGAATATAATAAAAAGTAGGACTAGGTTAAGACAAGTAGTAACCCTATTTTTCTAGTAGTAACCCTATTTTTTTACCCCCTCTGTAAGGAGGGGGTGTTTAGCTTTAACAAAGGCTGACTAACACCCTTGGGTAATTTACCTATATACTTAATATAGGTAGTTAGCTAAACATGTACTAGCATTCTACCTGCTACCCTCTTTCCTATATAAAGTACTAATCTAACCCTAGGACGTGTTTGTAATTTTCATAAGATTATCTAACTTTAAACTTCAACCTCTGATGGCTGTAATTGATGGCTATAAGATAGGCAAGAGTGGCCCTTCTGGCGATGGGCAAAAGTAGTACCAGGGATCCTCGTGGTATCCCTTTGAGTGCCAGGTGACCCCATTTCTGCCAAGGGCGGGGTAGAGCTAATGCATTTACAGCATTAAGTCCGATAAGCCAATAGTTTCATAGTACCTCTAATTATATAGTGTTTTGCCTATGCCATAAGTACTATCAGTCTCTATATTTACATAAAGGTACATTATAATCTAAGTAGCCCTACTTTCTGTCGCTGTGCTCACCTATCCCTTTAGTTGCAAACGGACCCCACTAACCCCCGTGAGGGGTAGGAGCAAATCAGACTACAGCAATTAACGCTAAAAGCCAATAGTTTTAAGGTACTTCTTTTCATATAGCATTTTGCCTATGCCAAAGGTACTAGTAATTACTACCTTTATATAAAGGTACATTATAGGCTAAGTAGCCCTACTAGGTCCTTTGTTAGGCTAGACTGTTGCGTTATTATACTACTCTAGTATATAGTTATCTAGGTAGGCAAGGTCCCTTAAATAGACCTCTATGTAAGTAGTACTATTAATATCTGTAGAGGTATCTGAGTTAGAAGATATTGCAATTTTGATGATGATTTTAATGATAATGTTAGTGATAATGTTAAAATTAGTGGTAGTTGCTAGCAAAATAATATACTAAAACAATGTATTGTCATGTATGTCCGAAAGTGAGGGGTAAAAGTGGGGGTGGGTCCACCTAGGGGTTAGTGGGGTCCGTTCGCAACTAAAGGGATTAGTAGATGCCTCACCTAGAGGTTGTCTCTTTGAGCTACTGTAATAGGAGCAAGGTAAGTTATACCCTTGTAAACCCTAGCAATAGTCTATAATTAGTATAGACGTATTTACCTTATAGAGGACATTATGATTTTAATAATGATGTTAGTGATAATGTTGAAATTGGTGGTAGTTGCTAATAAAATAACATTCTAAAACAATGTATTATCATGTATGTCCGAAAATGGGGGCTAAAAGTGGGTGGGGATCCACCAAGGGGTTAGTGGGGTCACCTGGCACTCAAAGGGATATTGTCCGAATTAGACCTTGAATATGCAGAAAACTACAACCAACCCCAACCGTATACATATTGTGCCAAAGATACGGCTGTTATTCAAGAGTCATCTTGTTCATTATCATACCTTATGACAATAAAAGTATACGTACCTCTTGCTAAAAAGCGAAATTCAGGTATATAATGATCGTCAACGGCAGGCCCCATAGGCGATTCAACTCGGACCACCAAGTCCTTCATTCGAGGCACAAACTGCCCACGATCACATCTATCTACGTTTCCCAAAGCTCAACTTATCCAATTGTTCACAATGGCACAGAGCGTCGTCCATGTCAAGCCCGGGACTGACTCGGCCCTCCGGCTCGTCACTCACGATATCCCGTCCATGGATCAGACGCCGGACAGGGTCCTCGTCAAATTTCTCGCTGTTCCCGTGAACAGGGTTGATCTTCTTGTCATGGATGGGCAATATCCGGTCAAGCCTCAATTTAGCGTCGAGGGACAGCCGATCCCCGGGTTCGACGGGTGCGGTGTCGTGATCGAGTCAACCAGCAGCGGATTCGCGACCGGCGACCTGGTCATCATACTCGATTTCGGACTCGGCACCTGGCGCACCCATGCAATCCTCCCTGCAAACGCGTTGCTCAAGGTGCTTCGAGACACCCCACCGGTGGTGGCATCGCTGATCCGATCCGGCACCTTGATCGCCTGGCTCCTCTGCGAGGAGGTGGCATCCCTTTCCGAGGGGGACTGGGTTCTCATGTCGGCCGGCACGAGCTGTGTGGCACAGTTCTTTGTGCAATTTGCTCGGCAGCGGGGTCTCCAGACAGCCATGGTCGTCCGAGACCGCGACAACATTGCCGAGACAACGACCCAACTTACGCGCCTCGGAGCCTCGGTCGTCATCTCAGAGTCCCAACTGGCTCGCGAGAAAGCGGCAGCAATCCCGGGAAAGCCGGTTCTGGCCCTCGATAGCGTGTTCGGCGCCGTCGGCCAGGCCATGCTCGACAGTCTCGCGCTCGGCGGGAAATATGTCATGGTGGGCATGCTCAGCGGCTCCTCGGGTGCCCTGACTGTCACCACCGATCTCTTTTACAAGAAGTTGACCCTTATGGCATTCCGAGGCAGCGATGTGTTGAAGAGAATTGGCGCGGCCAAAACGCAAGCTATTGTTGACATGCTGGCCCGCCAGCTCATTGACGGAGGGCTCAAGTGTCCGCACATCAAAACTTTGCAGTGGGCGCAGGTGGAGAACAATGATGTGGCAACGTTGGAGCAAGCTTTGAATGAGTCAGTCAGGGACGCAGGTAGTTTGGAGGTGGGTTATCAGAAAACCATCTGGGTTGTATCGTCGTGAGCAATTAATAATAAGTGGCTTAAGGGCGCTCTCTCAAACTTTTGTCTCTCCAATCACTCGGTCCCATGGTTTGATCAGCACAAAAAGGACACAAGGCGAGATTGAAGTTGTCGAAGTAACCGATCTAGTTAAGCATGACGCGTGTATGCTGTGCCTATGCTTGTGTGTATGTGTGTGTATCTAGGACTGTCCTCGTTGAGGAATTTCGTCTCTTATTTGGATTTACATGCGACATTGGATCTCCCACTCTTAAGTGCAGAAATCTGCCAAGTAGTAACACCCGTAGAACGGGTACTAGGGCCCGATCCGAAACTTCCGATGACAGCCAAATATTAGTTGAAAAAGTCTAACCCGTAAACTCGATTCGTGGCACACTAGGAGGATTAGAGGGTAATCGTACACCCTGTTTTTGTGGGACGACGAGAGCGCAGCACAATAGGTAGCACCCTGTGCCATACCAACCGATCCACAGAGCCTCATTGTAATCAAAATGAGATTTCAAAGAACTTAATTTACTAAGTACAGTACCCATACATTAACCCTCAAGTACACATTGCGTAGCCGAGCAAATTCTTCAGGATCCAAGGAGTAACCCTAATATTATAGTAGTCATATTAGTAGTAGAGAGTAGGTTTAACTTGGGGCTGTAACGGGGGTGGGCGGCTGGTCTGAATGTTATCTGTTATAACTATTAGAAATGTTTGCCTTTTGACCACTGCCTCCTCTACAACTCTAATCTTCTTCTCTTTCCAACTCGTCTTGGTTACCAGCTCCTCCAAGCACTCTTGGCTGCAGTCAAGACCTCCCTCCTTGTTCACTACAAGCCTGACCATTCGACGAAGCGAGTATCCGATACGTCCGAAATGTCCACGGCCAGACCGCCGAGCGCGGCAAACGATTCAAGCATGTGTTCCGGCGCCCCAAGCGAAGCGCAGTCGCTTTCGAAGGCGGAAGCGGCGAGCAAGACCGTCCCGGCGACGCCTCTGTCTCCTTCGCCACGGACCATCCATGGTGTTCGCGTCAGTCATACACCCACTCATGAGCCTTGGGCCGTTGTCGTCACGAGCTGGATTCTAGAAAACTTCGGACTCTTCGCAATGAGCGGATGGCTGACTTGTGATCGCTGCAGTGGGTCCTGACGGTTGTCAGCGTCATCTCGAGCATGTTTCTCTATTCCATGGGCAACACCATGGTCGCAGTAATCACCCCGGTAAGCCAGCGCAATCGCAATAACCCAGTGTTCAGCAGCCTTTTCGAATCGTTGGAAGCTCATTATAGTCGTGTGCAGGGTATTATAAACGACCTGGGGGGTGCCGCAAAGCTCCCCTGGCTTACTGTTGGGTATCACTACCAAAGCGGCACTTGTCAACTGGCCACAAGATGAGCTGACTCTGGTTCTCAACAGATTCCAACTCGGAGCGTCGACTGTAGTGTTGCCTTTCTCCAAGCTCTACGGTCTGCTGAACGTCAAGTGGTTGTATATCACGTCGGTGGGTGTCTTTGCGCTCGGCACCCTGCTCTGCGGTGCTGCCCAAACCATTGATACCTGCATTGTCGGCCGAATCATTGCCGGAGTAGGCGGACTCGGCATGTATCTCGGCGTGATGAACATTGTCTCCTCTCTGACATCCGACAAAGAACGTCCGGGATATATCGGTTACGTGTACGTCACCCCCCTTCCGCCTCGCGTCTCGATTATTGAGATGAGAGGCCAAGCGCGGAAGAACGTTCTAACCAGTGTTCTCTGATAGCGGTCTCATTTGGGGCCTCGGTACCGTCATGGGGCCGATTGTTGGCGGCGGGTTCGACGACTCTCAGGCCACATGGCGGTGGTCTTTCTACTTCACTGTGTGCGCAGCTGGCCTTTTCACACCCGTCTATCTGGGCTTCTTGCCCTCGATGGAAAGGAGCCCGGGTAAGCCAATGATGGCCAAGTTGAAATCCGTCGACTTCCTCGGCGCCATCATCAGCATCGGCGCAATCATGTGCCTCGTTCTCGCCGTCAACCTCGGCAGGTCGCTCTTCAGCTGGAACAGCCCGCCGATAATCGCCCTTTTCGCGGTGGCAGGTAGCCTGTTTGCTGCTCTAGCCTTGCAGCAAGCTTTTTGTTTCTTCACAACGCCCGAGAACCGCATCTTCCCAGTGGCCATGCTCAAGAACGTGAACGCGGTTCTGCTATTTATAACCACTGCTGGTGCAAACGCGTCCGCCTTTGTCCCAATCTTTTACGTTCCCCTGTACTTTCAATTCTCGATGGGAGATAAGGCCATAGGATCTGCCGTCCGCTTGCTGCCCCTCATCTTCTCCCTCTGCGCCTTCATTATCCTAAACGGGCGGCTCATGGCACGGTTCAACTACATTCAGCCGTGGTACGTTGTCGGCAGCGCTCTCAGCCTCGTCGGATCAGTCTTCATGTCGCAGATTAAGCCCGATACCCCCCTGGGCAACATTTACGGCTTCGAAGTCTTGATGGGTGTCGGAACCGGCAGCTTTATGCAATGCGGCTACGCCATTATCCAGCACATCGTGTCGCCTTCGCAGAGGCCGCAAGCGATCGGCTTCATGATGCTTGGTGAGTCTCCATCTCACCATACAACCAACAACTATGGTTACCCTGATGGGGATTAAAGACACTAAATCTCGTGTATCCTTATCTTGTAGGTCAGTTCAGCGGCATCGTTTTGAGCCTTGCGATTGCCGGCAGCATCTTCATAAACAAAGCGCTTTCCGGCCTCGCCGCCCTGATGCCCGACGTGCCGCACTCCAGTCTGCAACAGTCAATCAGCGGAACCAGCGGCTCATTTTTTCGCTCGCTGTCACCGGAAATGCAGAAACAGTCGGTCGAGGTCATTGTCGGCGCCCTTGCTCAGACGTTCATTGTTGCCTACGTTGGAGCTGCTATATGCCTGGTTCTGAGCTGCTGCTTTACTGTACGTATATCACTGTTCCCTACAAAGTTGGTAAAAAGTGGACTTATGCTAACTCTGTTATCTTGAAAAGAAACGAAAGCTTGTTGACAAATAAAAAGCCGGAGTTACTCTATATCTTTCTGCAAAGAGAGAATATAGTCGTGACTTTTAGCTACATGATCTTTACTCGTACGCATAACAAAGGACATATTTAAACCCCTGTTATCATTACTAAAGACCCGGGTAGCATCTCGAAGGTCTCGTAACTAGACGTTCGTTGGCTGATCATCGCCACGGACCAATGTGTCATATGATATCCATTGGCCTAGACAAAAGGGATTGCTAGGGCACATTCATTTTAATTAGAATTAAGCATCTTTGACCCCAATTCTCCTGTGGCCTGCTGTGGTTTCGAACTCATGACAGACAATTACCACCAATTCTCTGATCCCAATGGGTGTCGTCAGTATGGAAGCTGAGTCTGCTTTATGGTTCTTGCCGTGGCATATCTTCCGAGCCTCTATGCCCGATTTGCTAAACATGGATACTAATGGGACCGTAAATTCCTTTGGCCCCCATGCTGCCTACAAAGGCCAAACAAAATCGGATTGGGCAGCCATGCCATGTTTGGTGGCACACAGGCAAGTGCCTGTTTTCCTCCCATCCCCCCTGTGCAGACATCACCTCGCTGCAATCTGCCAAACAAGAAACAGGCCCCGATAACTTGCCCATTGCGATTTTGCATCTCTCCCAGGAGTTTTTCCAGACAGAAGCCTCTTCTCAGAAGTTGAAGTCACAACCCAAAGAGGCTTGGTGTTTTTATCTTGAATTTCCCCACGCGGGCCCCTTTTTGCCGTCACAAACCGGTTCCCGCAGCGCTCAGAGGTGGAAATTGCACTTGTTGGGCCTCATTGACCCTGAAGGCCAGACCCCGGACACACCAAGGCTTGCCTTGCTGCTTTGTGTCCCAACTACTAATATGGCTAGTAGTCGAGTTCCAAACTGTCATCTGGCCCGCTATCGAGCTCGCCGCGGGAATCTTTGTGCCCTGCCCCCCGAGCACGCGCCAACTCTGGACGGCAGTGCCGCGTCGCGGCCGCACGGGTCCGTCAGGGACTCGATGGGGCAAGCCCCGCGAATGACATTAGAGAGCTGCGCGCGGTGGTCACGGGTGATCGATCACGATGCCTCGTTGACGTCAAACCTGGTGGGCGGCACCACGGACAGGAGGAAATCCGCCCAGTCCGACTCTATTGGCGTGACGGCGGCGCCGGAAGCCGAACTTTTGCCGATAATGGTGGCCCACGTCAAGCGGCTCGAGATGCAGCTGAAGGCGGGGTCTCAAGACCACAAAGAGTTCGATCTCCAGGAAACCAAACGGTCAGAAGAAGGCCGCCAGAAAATTTGGAGACATGCCGGTAGACGTAGGGAAAGTGGTGAGTCACAGTATCTTGCTACTGTGAGTCAAGAAATGTTGGCGGCAGAGTACCACAACCTTTTGAGCAAAGGGCCTGCTCTATTAATTATATGTGTTGATGAATAAAAGTTTGATTTGTTTCACGATTACTGTAGACTGTGGTGGCAAGCACACAAAATCATCATGTTAGTGGCCAGCAGTGAGACTCATCAAAACCGTCAATGATAGATCACACTGCGTTTGGTAAGATATAAAAGCGGAGCCTCTCCCCAATACACACACACACACACGCACAAATGATAGAACTTGATTTCAAAACCCCTTCATTGCCAAACACACCAAGCCCTCCTATCCTACCACTGCACTGACTTACCACGAACTCAGAGGTACGTCTGTTGTTAGGCACACGACTGAGGAGAGAATCTCGAGGTTCTTCAACAAGTACTGCTCTGCATCAGAATCAGACTGCAGAGCCTTTGCTCCTAAGTTTACTGGCGCATCAACAGTTCAAACTGCAATATAAGGTGCTTTCAGCTACACGGTTGCTAGTGAGAGATATGTTGTTCAGTCCAGCGCCAAGGTTTCGCCTTGGAATATTTGACTCATGATCTTACTAAGCGGATTCATGGAGGCATCGTCGCAGCGACATTCGATGCAGGACGTTAGTATAAGATGTAGATGGAGACTGTGTGTACGTGCCGGCTAACGTACTCTGAGTTTATATAGCTGACCTTCGTGCGGACTTTGTTCTCTAGGAGGGTCAACCTTAGAACACTCTCTTGTTGTACCTATCTCCTGTTTTCCTCTGCTTGTGCTATAGTGTGCTTCTTGTTTGATTACCTTATTACGCTTTGATGCCTTTCTCTGCCACACGCCTTTATAGCGTCCGTCTACGTTGCTGCCGCGCTCTTTCTCGGCAGCTCCAACAGCCTATATCACTAATTAGATCCGGAACAGATACCATACAGAAATAGGCTTGTGACTTGAGGTTTTTATATCTGATCTATGAAGACTTGGGGATTGACGATGTTCCTTGAGGGAGAAGTTGTACAGCCTTTGCTTGACTAAAACCTTTGCTATTTTCTTAATGGGCGGTTCCTACGTAGCGAAGCGGAACCTAGGGCTCTTCTCCCCCATAGCCTCGATCTCATCTTCTGTCTTGCCTTCCATAAGGTAATCAAACTTCCCTTCATCTCGTAGCCTGTTTTGTCTCTTGAAATGCAGATGAAGTAATACGTTTAGGCATAAAGAAAATCCCAGCATTCCTATACTGGCGGCGTATCCAGGAACAAATGACCCTTGGAAGAGAAATGGGGAAGCAACCCCGGACGAGTTTCCGATAGTCAGATGCAGCCCTGTTGAGATGGCTCGTTTTCCGTAACGCGGATTATTGGTTGGAACCCAGGCAAACGAGATGCCCGCTGAAACAAAGATGCCGATCGAGACGAAGAATGGGCCCGCATAGGATACAGAAGGTCCTTTCTCTGCTATTAGCATGCCGTATCCAGCCATGGACGAAACAATTGATCCCATGATGAAATATCCCCGGCGCTGAGTTAGGTCGCTTAATCGAGTGCAAGTGATGTAAACGATGGCACCAGCTGCGTAGACTGGCACAGTCATGGCCTGGACTTCGGCGGCGGTCCACATGTAAGTGACTTGGTTGGCGAGTATATGGACAAAGGGGGTGAAGGGAATCTGACTGGGCCGTTGAGAGAGTATGTGCCTGAGAATATCACGACTCAGGTTCCGAGGCCTTGAATGATGGTTGGGAGGAAAACCACGAATGAGTACAGCATAGTGAGCATCGGAAACAACGCGAAGCAATATGCCCATGTGGTCCAGTCTTTGAGCCCATCTTTGACGTCAGGCCACTCCATTTCACGTAGATTTCTGGCGCTTCCAAATTGCGACTCGTGAATGCGAATTAGGTTGATTTTGTCCTCATCGGTAAGAAAACTCGCTGTTTCGGGGCTGTTGGGTAGGACGAAGGGAATCACGAAGCCTGTGACAATGGTCGGAATGCCGTTTATCAGAATGATCCACCTCCAGGCGCGCCATCCGTGATTGCCGTCTATGAAGCTGATGCCGTAGGCTACCAACCCCCCGGCGACACCAGAAGCAGCGGCTGTATCGTAAAAATAGGCAATGCGCGATGCCAAACTGCGACGACTGTAGAACATGGAGAGGTATAATACTACGCCGGGGAAGAGGCCGGCTTCGAAAAGGCCGAGCAACAGACGACAGGAGACGAGTGCAGCAAAGCTGTTCACGAACGCGCTGAACGTTGCGACAAATCCCCAAGCAATGGTAAGCCCAGCAAGATAACGCGCAGGTTGGAGTCGTTTAATGATCATGTTGGATGGGGCTTCGAACAACTGGGTATCGTAATTTGTTAGTGTTGAGACTGACAATGCAACATGGCGACTTACACAGTAAGTTACAAATAGAACCGACACTGCTAACTGGAATTGACCCGGTCCTAGGTTCAAATCCTCTTCCAGACCAAATACAGCCTGTGTGGGGCATATAAAGAGAACGGAAGTGTGTTTCCAAGAGGAAGAGGTAACCACCCCACCCCACATCCGCAAAACCTCCACTTCCGCAAATACCGAAAATGTCGCATTTCTCCTCCTTCATCAACATCACCACCTTTTTCAAACTATCACAACAATTACCATATATCGCTAAACAACACCATTTTTTTCAGAATACCTTCTTTAACCCATCATGAAGCAATACACCGAATTTGAGCTCCAACAGGCCCTTTTGGAGGTGGGAGATAGGCGCCCTATCAGCGAGGTTGCTCGTCGATGGGGTATCCCATACCATACTCTTTATTATCGACTAAAAAAGGGCAGACAAAGCAAAAATACTACCTATATCCATATGCAGCATTTATCCCAGGCCCAGGAGAATAATCTGGCTGCCCATATACTTGACCAAGAGACCCTTGGCAGAATCCTTACCCATCAACAAGTAAAGGGACTGGCAGAGCGTATGATAGGTGATAGGCAGCGACCTCTAGGGAGGAAGTGGATAGGGCGATTTCTGTGGCGAAACCCATCCATTAGAACGAAGCGATCTAGAGCAATGGATGTCAGGCGATGGAAAGCCCATTCTCCAGAGGTTATCCGCGATTTCTTCCATCGTCTAAGCAGTATTACTGCCATCTAGGACAACCATCCTTCTAACCGATGGAATATGGATGAGACTGGTATTATAGAGGGCAGGGGATCTAATGGGCTAGTGCTAGGCTCTGTGGCATCGCGATATATACAGAAAAAGCAGCCAGGATCCAGGACATCAATATCGCTGATAGAGTGTGTGTCAGCTGCTAGGACCTCCTTACCTCCCTTGGTTATATATAAGGGCAAGTCAGTCCAGACCCAGTGGTTCCCATCTAACCTATCTAGATATGATGGCTGGCACTTTACAGCAACAGACAATGGCTAGACGACTGAGAAAACTGCCCTTGAATGGTTAGAGAAGGTCTTTATCCCTAGGACTATGCCAGATGAGCCAGATACTGCCAGACTGCTGGTTCTTAATAGGCATCAAAGCCATATATCTATTGACCTTATGTGAAAATGCTAGCAGCATCGCATCTATCTATTATTTCTGCTGCCACACTCCTCTGCTGTCCTCCAGCCTCTAGATGTGGCTGTTTTTAGCCCATTAAAGCAGGCCTATCGCAAGGAGGTTAGATATCTAGATGACTAGTTAACAGATTCAACTATAGCTAGAAAAAGGGCGTTTCTGGAGTGTTATATAAAGGCCAGAGATACAGCCATAATAGCCTAGAACGTTAGAAGTAGCTAGAGGTCAGCTGGACTATGGCTAATATCTATACAATGACCTCTATCTAACTCCTTAATATCTAAGGCATTATCTAGCCAGCAGGCTAGCTAGCAGACTAGCCAGCCTAGCAGCTAACAGTAGGATAAAGCTATATCTATTGTCCTATAGTTAACCCCTTATTAGTCTACTAATCTATAGCATTAACTACACTAGTTAACCTAGCTAGCTAAGGATAAGTTAAATACCTATACTATTTATTACTTATCTAGAAAGGTATAAAAGGGCTATAATAAGTAGTTATTTAGACTAGCCCTTTTAAAAAGGCAAGTTAGTATATTATAGGCCTAGTTAGAAGACTAGTAGTTATATAAGAGAAAAAAGGTCCCCTTATTACCTAATAGTACCTTTGCTACTATAGAATATATCTAGTAGGCGTAGAATCTAGATGCTAGCTAAATAGATAGTCTAGATAAATCTAGTGTATCTAAATTATCTAGTGAGGCTAAAAGTTGTATATAGGTAGGCAGTAGACCTAGTAAAATAACTAGGGATAGTAGTAGTAGTAGTAGTAGTAATAGTAGTTTATGTAAGTAGGGGTTTTATAGAAGTAAGGTAGAGTAGTTAACTAAGAAAACCTTCCTATATAGTTATTATTACTAGTTATTAACCCTCTTTATTAGCTTATAGTAGGATTTTAATAATAATATATTAATTATTAATATTATTCTATTATATCTTAACCTTATTTATACTACTAAACTATACACTAAGTTACTTATCTAAGTATATTTTAGGTACTAATCCTAAAGCTTAACTAGATTTATCTATATATAGTAATTAGTATTAGTAAGTAACATAACTTTACTAGCTAACTTATAGTTTAGAAGGAGAGATATTACTACTCTAAAGTAAGAAGTAAACGTCTATATAGTATTCTACTTTAGCTATATAGACTATACTAAATTTATCTAACATACTAATAACGTTATTAATATAATCTAAAGTTACCTAGATAGCCTCTGTATTCTATTTTAAGGGTAGTCTTATGTATACCTAAGAATTCACAGGAGCTAAAGCTAAATTATTTAGCTAAAAGATAATAATTAAGTTACCTTCTGTAATATAATTAATATTAATTAAATAGATAAAGGGTAAGCTACTGCTAGTAATAAGAGTTTAAGTAGCTTTACTAATAGCCTAGCTAAATAGACTAATTTATATAGTTACTTTACTAAAGAAACAAGAAAAGTAGGTAGTTACTATACACTAAAATTCTTTAAAAGACAAGGACTACGTTAGCTAAGCAAAGGGCTACTATATAGATATAAACTTCACTTGTCTACTCCTTATTAGGCTAATACTTAAAGTTAAGAAGGTATTTATATAATATCTAATAGTTAGTTTTAGCCTTCTAAATATAATTATATATAGGATTAGAATAGTAAATAATTTCTGTCTAAACACTAGCTATTTCTAGCTATATTAGGTATATGAAAACCTAGCCTATTTTACTTATTATACTGTCTTAGGTAATATATAGAAGTTCTAGCTTTTTGCCTTCTGTTATTACTAGGGCTTTATAAGGTTATTATATTACTACTTAGGTAGTCCTACAGAGCTAGATAGCAAGTAAGTCTATTATAAATAGACAGTGTAAAGTAGACAGTAGAATATGAAGTAAGGAATCTCTTTAAAAACCTTTATATTTAGTATATATAACTTTAGATATAGGAGAATCTATAAACTTTATAAATATATTCCTAGATACTACCTATTTAATAAAGAACCTTAACTAGCTTAGTATTTATAATATATACTTTAAGATAATAAATATAAGTATAATTTATTTTATTTACTAGTGTATATTTTTATACTTATCCTAAGTATATAAATCTATGCCTACGAGTTAAGGTATTATTTAAGGTATAAACTTTTATATACTTAATATACTTAGATTTATATACTAAATTTAGTACTAATATAGTTAACGTCTTTAGCCCACCTTTATATTAACTATTAAGCTAGCTATCTATATATAAGTACACTATAACTAGTGTTTAGTACTTATAATTAATAAGCCTATGTCTATAGTTATAACTTACTAGTAGAAAAGACTATATACCTATAGAATAGAAGTAATTACAATTATAAATTTAAGGATAAGATATCTCTAACTAACAGTGTATTAAGAAAAAATACAAAATACAATACAAATACAAAATACAAATACAAAATACAAAATACAAATACAAATACAAAGATGTATTTGTATTTATATTTTATTATAAAAATGCATAAATTAAGGGTTAATATTATTAATATATAATTATATAGTTAATTATATTATAAATTAAAATATCTAAATCTAATGTATTTATAGATATATTTATAGTCTTAGTACTATAATTATTACTATAAAGGTTAAGGTATTTAATAGTATCTTTTTACTAGGTTTAATATTCTTCTTATATATTAAGATATATATAAGTAGTATAATTACTATCTTTTAACTATATATAGTTACTTTTCTTTTAAACTTAAAATATCTTAAGAACTACTAATACTAAGATTTCTAACTCTACTAGTATAAAAAATATTAAGTAAAATAATATTAATATAATAGTCTTTTACTTCTTTAATATTACTAGTAAAAATAGTATTATTATTTTCTTCTTCCTACTTATAAAAACTATAACTAATACTATTTCTAATAGTATTAAGTATATAATTCTAGTAGTATTAGTATATACTATATATATTATTTATATTACTACTATAAAAATATTTACTTACTTTAAACTCTTTATTATTACTATTTATAGTAACTTCATTATTAAATA